ATGTCTTCGTTCCCCTCAAAACCCCCAGCCCTCAGTCCCCTCAGCACCCGCCCACGTCCCCCTGTTCCTCTCTCTCCATGTCCCCTGCCCCCCCCGCCCCCCCGCAACAAGCTTCCAGGCCTCCTAAGCCTGGGGTTCGCTGCCCACCAAGGGAGATAGCTACCTGTCTGGGGCTCAGGGGAGCAAGACCCCGCGGCAGGCTCATACATTCCAGCTTGCCCCCCCCAACCCGACTTCTATGCCCTCAGGATGCTCCTGGGGGTGGACATCAGCCTCATGGTCCCTGAGGTGGAGCTGGGCCTGGCCAGTTCCCTGGGGAGACGGGTGGGGAGCTCTCCCTCCCTACAGTGGAGACACAGAGAGGGGAAGAAAGTACCCCATGCACCCCTCCTTCCGGGGCGGGTGAGGCCGCCCACAAAGGCTGACTGCGGGTCCTTTGAGGCCGTGAACAACTGTCTGCCTGCTGCCCCTGCCTGGCGGTAAGGCACCCTCCCACTGGGACCATGGCCACGAGTAAACAGAGCTTTCATTTGTGGATGTCGCCAACAGCTGCAGGCCGGGGCAGGAGGGCCAGGCGCCCAGCACTCCCACGGCCCCTGCCCAGGCTTCCCTGCACTTCTGGCCCTTTCTGCACCCCTCCTGGCCACAGACCTCCACTGGGCCCAGGCCGCTGGGGCTGGCCCTCCTGCCCCATGCAGGCCCACCTCTCCACACTGTGGCGGGAACACCTTGGCTCAGGGTGGGGGTCTGCAGGGCCTCCCCCAACCAGCCCTGTACAGCACCGTGCTCCTTGGGCTCACACCCAAGGGCCGCAGGGAGATTTCTGCAGTCTTCTTCTTAGTGTCCATCTCCCTGAGGCCATGGGAGGGTCGACATGGACAACCTGGTGTCTCAGAGGTCTGGGGCTCACACCTGGGCAGAACGTGGGCATCTCAGGCCGTGACACAGCTTGGGGTAGGGGGGTGAGCAGAGAAGGCTTTGACAAACACGTCACTGACTCACCAGGGGAAACATCCAAGCTTCTCCCTTCCTCACCCGATTGATTTGTGGATTTATGACTGCCGCAGAGCCTGGGCCTTGCCAGCTGCTGCTTGGGCAGCTGAGCTACTTTGTAGGGCACAGTGAGGAAACCAGGATGCCTGTGCACAAGCTGAGCGGGGAAGACCTGCGGGCCACAGCCGCTGAGCCCACCTCCCTGCACAGGTATGTGGGGGAGGGGCCGGCTCTCTAAGGCCCTGCTGCAGGGACTGGCACTCGGACGGACGTGCTGACTCACCGTCCCGGCCAGGACTGCAACCCGGTAGCGGCGCAGCCGCAGACCACTCTCCAAGGGATGAAAATGCTAATCTCTACACCGGCATGCTGCTTGTCCCAACAATCTCATCGAGATTCCTCTGGGGACGTTGCATCCCATTCTATGTTTTAAGACCGCATGTGTGCCCTAGTACCACAGTGTAGAGTATTGTACGGTATTAGCTGAAGAGCGCGCCTTCTTTTCAGGGAGAAATAGGTAGCCAGGTATTGCCCCCAGCACCCATGGGGTAAAAAGCTCACTGAGAAAACCAGAATCTAGAGAGGCTCCAGTGGCCCCAGCAAGGGACACCGTTCAAGGCAGACCCAGGGGCGTGATTTAGTCGTGTTAAAAGATTATAAAAACATACCGAAGTGCAATTTTTAAAAGCGATTGATGGAAGGTGCGACCACATGTCATTTAACTGTTTCTCCCTCATAGACTTTCCCCCTCCGAACGTCAGGGAAAAGTGAAAGCATCTGTCAGCGCAGGTACGGCTGGGGTAGCAGGGACAGGGAGCCCGGACGGAGGTCGGGGGCCCGCCCGCGTCGCCACGCAGCTCTGTGCGCTCCTGGGGCCGAGGCACCAGGCGACCGGCGCGGGGCCAGCACCTTCTCCACAACAAGTGCGCGGCAGCCGGGCAGGCCCCCGCCCTCCCCGGGGGCAGCGGCCCCACGTGCTCCCTCACCTGACCGCCAGCCCGGCGGGCGTGCGGAACCCCTGCCCCCCTCCTCCGCGCCGAGACCACGCGGGGTGGGCCCGACCCCTCTTTTCGTTGCCCTGGGTCCCCGGCAGCCGACCCGCGGAAGGCGCTCGGCGGGCCGGACGCACGGCCGGCCGGGCCAGCGCGCTCGCCCCCCGGGGCTGCCGTCTCCAGCTCGCGTGCGCGCCCGGCCCGCCTGCATTTCTCCGGGCGCGGACCCGGGGCTGCACTCCCCCCGCCCCCGGCCCGGCCCGGCCCGGCCCGCTGGCCCTCCCCGGGAGGCCTGCCCCGCCCGCGCGCGTCCCCGCGGCACTGCGGCGGTTACCAGGACGCCGGCCTCCGGGCGGCGTGCTCTCCGGAGCCGGCCAATGAGGGGGCAAATCAATCATTTGAAACATCCAATGGACAGAGCACTGCAGCGCGAGGGAGGGGGTTTTGATAGGGAGAGCGGAGGCCGAGGCGGACCAATAAAGAGCGAACGGCGTTGGGGAGGTGGGCGTTAGGCAGCCGGATTGACGGGAAACGCAGCCAATCAAACCAGGACGCTTGCCAGCCTCGTTCTGGCAGCCCAATAGGAGGCTGGCGGGGGCGGGCGCGGCGACTATATAAGCGTTGGCGGAGCGTCGGTTGTAGCATTCTGCGCGCCCGTTCCTCTGCTCTTGCGTCCGTCCTTCCGCCGCTGCCGCCGCCGCTGCCGCCGCCGCCGCCGCTGCCGCCGCCGCCATGAGGGAAATCGTGCACCTGCAGGCCGGCCAGTGCGGCAACCAGATCGGCGCCAAGGTGAGCAGTGGGGCGCCTGGGGCCCGGCGTGGGTGTCCCGGGCGGACGGGCGGGCAGCAGAAAAGATGGCGGCAGCGGGCGGGTGGGCGAGCGGCCACCCGCATTGCGGCCCGGCACGGGGTCGGGGCCGGGGAGGCGCGGGCCTCCGGGGACTGACCTGACCTGGCGGCGGCGGCGGCGGCGGAGGCGGCAGCGTGGGGGGAGGGGAGGGCCGCGCCCATCCGGGGCGGGGCCGGCTCCGGGCCCCGCCGGCGTGACTCAGCCGGAGCCCGGCCCGCCCGCGTCCCTCGCAGTTCTGGGAGGTGATCAGCGACGAGCATGGCATCGATCCTACCGGCACTTACCATGGCGACAGCGACTTGCAGCTGGAGCGGATCAACGTGTACTACAACGAGGCCACCGGTGAGACACCACACCCCTTCCCCAACTTCTTCCTGCCTTCCCGCGGCCCTCTTCTCGCTGACGTCCTTTTCCTTCCTCCCCCGAACCCGCCCCAGGTGGCAAGTACGTGCCCCGCGCTGTGCTCGTGGACCTGGAGCCGGGCACCATGGACTCCGTGCGCTCGGGACCCTTTGGGCAAATCTTCAGGCCAGACAACTTCGTTTTCGGTGAGCCGCAGCATAGGGGCTGGGCGGCGGCCTGATAGCCAGGACGGCTCAAAGGTCAGGGGGTGCCCAAGGTCATTGCCGGCAGCACCAAAGAGCTGAGGTCCTGATCCACTCCGGGCAGAAGCTCGCCCCCCCGGGACACCTCCTCTTTCTGGAGTCTCTCAATCTCCTAAAGCGGCTTTGGGAGGAAGGCCCAGCTGTCCACCCGCAGGGAAGGAGCCAGCAGATGTAATCTTTTTGCTACAAACATTGAGTTGGAGGCAGCGGGAGCTGTGTTTGCAGCTCATCTGTCCTTGAGAATTGGCAGGGGCTGCCTGTGGGAGGGCACGGCTTATTGTTGAGCCATCTTGGTTTGAGTCCTAACTTAATTTTTAAATGGGTGGGTTACTGCTTTATCAGCTTGGGAGTCCAGTTGCTTTACCTGCAGGGTGAGCTCTGTGTGTCCCCTCCCACCGCATTATTTGGGCTTTTTGGCACGGGTGACCAGTGGTGACCACATGCCCAGCAAAGAGTGACTGGCTGCCCTCTTCCAGGTCAGAGCGGTGCTGGGAACAACTGGGCCAAGGGGCACTACACAGAAGGCGCGGAGTTGGTCGACTCAGTGTTGGATGTTGTGAGGAAGGAAGCTGAAAGCTGCGACTGCCTGCAGGGCTTCCAGCTGACCCACTCCCTGGGTGGGGGGACTGGGTCCGGGATGGGTACCCTCCTCATCAGCAAGATCCGGGAGGAGTACCCAGACAGGATCATGAACACATTCAGTGTGGTGCCCTCGCCCAAGGTGTCGGACACGGTGGTGGAGCCCTATAATGCCACCCTCTCGGTCCACCAGCTCGTAGAAAACACAGATGAAACCTATTGCATTGATAATGAGGCCCTCTATGACATCTGCTTCAGAACCCTAAAACTGACCACACCTACCTATGGAGATCTCAATCACCTGGTGTCAGCCACCATGAGTGGGGTCACCACCTGCCTGCGCTTCCCTGGCCAGCTCAATGCTGACCTGCGCAAGCTGGCTGTCAACATGGTCCCCTTCCCCCGCCTGCACTTCTTCATGCCCGGCTTCGCCCCACTGACCAGCCGAGGCAGCCAACAGTACCGGGCCCTGACGGTGCCTGAGCTCACCCAGCAGATGTTTGATGCAAAGAACATGATGGCTGCCTGCGACCCACGCCATGGCCGCTACCTGACCGTGGCCGCGGTATTCAGGGGCCGTATGTCCATGAAGGAGGTGGACGAGCAGATGCTGAACGTGCAGAACAAGAACAGCAGCTACTTCGTGGAGTGGATCCCCAACAACGTGAAGACGGCTGTGTGTGACATCCCACCCCGGGGGCTAAAAATGTCTGCCACCTTCATCGGCAACAGCACGGCCATCCAGGAGCTGTTCAAGCGCATCTCGGAGCAGTTCACTGCCATGTTCCGGCGCAAGGCCTTCCTGCACTGGTACACGGGCGAGGGCATGGACGAGATGGAGTTCACCGAGGCCGAGAGCAACATGAACGACCTGGTGTCCGAGTACCAGCAGTACCAGGACGCCACGGCCGAGGAGGAGGGCGAGTTTGAGGAGGAGGCCGAGGAGGAGGTGGCCTAGAGCTATTACCTGGTAAAGCGCGCAGAAGCCGTGTGAACTCTTTATTCACTCACAACCTGTTCTCTGTGTGCACTTGCTCTCCTTCTTGTCTTGACGTCACATGCTGTACAGACGCCACCATTAAAGCATTTTCATAGTGTCTGGTGTCGTCTTTGCAGTTCTTTCTGATATGCCTTGCGGGTACTGTTGCCAAATGTCAGCGCATAGTTGTCCTGCGTGGCTACAAGGGACAGTGCTGTAGCTGAGCCCCTGGCATTGCCACATGCCCACCTGGCGGTCAGTACTGGCGGGTCTGGGCTGCCCCGGGCACGTGCCTCCTTCCCCGGCCTGGCCTGTCCGCAGTGAACCTCTGGAGGGCCAGTCACCCAACTCCTCCATAGAGTGTTCTGGTCACTGCGCCCTTGTCTAGGAGGTACGTGAGGGGACCCACTGGGTACGTACATGGTATGAACCCCATGTAGAAAGGTATCAGGCCCTGGCTGTTGTAGATGGTGTTGCTAGGCCAGTGTGTTTTGGGCAGCCTCTCACCCAGGGCACAGATGGGATTTCTGAAGAGGAACTGTGGAAACAGGCAGGTATTGATATATGCCACCTTCCTCAGCTCAGCCAGTAAGCAGTAGGTCGTGGTGGGGGCTGGGATCTGAGAGAGAAGCAGGACTAGGGCAGGAAGGGTAAGACCCCTGTTCTGTGTCGCCCGGCCCAGCGTTCCCCTAGAACCGCTGTGAAAAGTTGGGCCTGACTCCTTCCACGGGTCTCCTCTGTCTTCACCGGTCCCCACAGCGCTCCAGAGCAGGGAGCCTAGACCCAGTCAGGAGAACAGACGGGTTCCTCCCGGGGCCTCTAAGGAAGGCTGCCCTTCACAGCTTCCTCCAGGGAAGCCAGCTGAACCTCGGCCATGCTGGTGCCTGCCCAGAGGTGTGGTTGCCACTCTGCAGGCCCTGCTGGGCATTTGGGAGCAGGCCCAGGGGTGGTGTCCTAGTACCTGGTTCTTGTCAAATTCATCCATAGCCTGTGTGACACCGTCGCGGTAATTCACCCCCATCACCCAGGCAAACCGAGGGACAAAGCCAGCGTAGCCTAGGGGAGGAAGTGGTCAGGGTCCTGCCCAAGGTCCCGTCCACCTTCCCCTGGGCATACCCCCCTGCTCCCAGGTGTGTCGGTGCAGTCTGTTTGGGCTCTTTCCCTTCCCTAGACATTTGTCAATTGCCTGTTGGGGCCAGGGGCCTGTGGGTGGGCAGGAGCTCTGGGAAAAGACGGGTTCTAGGAAACAGTTCTCGGGGCAGGGCTGGGGATAGACCCACGGGCAGTTCTCACTTGCTGTCACTCTCATCCTGTCTGGGCCCCTGGAGCCTTGGAGTGCGTGTGGGGAGTGAGTGTTCTCATACCCACGCCCTGGGCACCCACCTGAGATGGCTTTGCGTTGGATCAGGTTGGGGTGGTCGAGCTGGGGCAGCCTGTGGAACCTGCCCACATCTAGTGTCTCCTGCTGGTGAGCTGGGGGTGGGTATTCATCTCTCCTGCAATGGTACAGCTGGGGTGGGAGAGGAGCAAGTCACTCCCTCAGCCCCTACTTGGGTCTGGCTGGGCTGAGGCTTGGTCCCAGCACCTCTCCCAGTTACCTGGTCCCGCCCAGAGGCCTCGTGGACAGGGGTGGTGCTCTGCCAGCCCTCCTCCCCATATGCCAGCTGCAGGCCTGGGTGTCTGAAGTCTCTGGAGTCCCCCTTCCTGCCTGGCGGGCACGGGGGGTAGGGAGGGTAGGGCATGAAGCCCACAGGCAGCAGGACCTGCCTGGATACATTCTCTACCCCCGGCGGCCCCCTCTGGGCATCCACCTTCTGGGGTGGGAACTGGCCCAGGATCTCAGAGTTCTTGTAGGGCTTCAGACCTGTACGGACAGGGTGGGTATGAGTGACAACAGCAGGAGGGTGAGCCTGGGGCAGGCAAGGCTGGTGGGCGGGCGGCTCACCCGTGTAGTGGGGGATGTAGGGCTCAGTCAGGTCACGGCAGGGGATCAGAGGTGGCTTGGACTTGCTGAAGTCCTCGATGAACTTGGGCTTGGATATGGGGGATAGCACGGAGCAGGGGCTCTTTTGCACGCTGGGGTCTGTGAGCAGCTGTGCTGTGGTGCGCCCATAGGTGTCCCCCACCTGGTAGCGCAGCTGCGGATAGAATCCGGCATAGCTGCAGAGGGAAGCGGAGGCAGGGCCCCTGTGTGCAGGGCGTGGAGCCGAGCCACAGGCAAGGTACCTGCCCTCACCTGCAGAATGCCAGTCCCAGGAGCACCTGCCTTCTGAGGCTCTTGAGGCTTGAATGGGCGGCTCAGACCAGGCGCCGATGGCCCACAGGTGAGTTGCATGGTCCTCACCATCAGGTCACCGTCTGCTCTCTACCCAGCCATCCTCAGCCATGGAGCTCCAGGATGAGGGAACAGGGAACTCTGCCCCCCTTGAAGCATCCACAGGGATGGTGACAGGGTCCGGGCCTTGGACCCAAGCACCGCCCACTCTATACAAGGTGGTCCCGCTGGGGAGGCCTTGCAGGGATTTGGCCTGGACCTTGGCCACCCGCGAGGCCAGGACTTGAGAGGCAGGCAAGAGTGCTGCTGGTAGGAGGTGGCTGAGCTGAGTGTCGTTTAGAGAGACAAGGGGAAGTAGTGTAGGCCTCACTGCAGGCCCCAAATGGGGGTAGTGCTGGGGCCGGAATGATCACCCAAGTGGTGAGAATTTTCTTTTGAAAAAACTGCCAAAGCGAATGCAGAATTGCTAGTCTGAGAGAGAAGCAGGACTAGGGCATGAAGGGTAAGAGCCCTGTTCTGTGTCGCCTGGCCCAGCGTTTCCCCCAGAACCACTGTGAAAAGTTGGGCCTGACTCCTTCCAGCCTGCCTTCCTTCCCAGGGATCCGTATGCACGTAGGTGCGCACATATACTCCACAGAGGGCTCGCTTTTAGTTTTTACGTCAGGGGTACCTAGCGAGGCAGCCTGGCGTCCCTGCCAAACAGCCTACTCTGGAGGCTAAAGTCTTTAAGACACGCAGCCCTCTATGGGGCATCCAGGGTTTACTTAGCCAGCCTCGGGCAGCTGTTGGGCTATCTCCCGTGTCCTGCTCTTCACAGGCATGTTGGCCGTCTGGTGGGGCTCTCAGCACAGGCCGAGCAGGGAGTGCTCCTGCCCTCAGGCCTCTCCAGGGCCCTCAGGCCTCACCCCCACTCCCTGGAGACCAGCTCTGGTGCTCTCTTCACAGGTGGCCTTGAGCCCTTAGGCCCAGCCCCACTGCCCCATCCTCCACCGAGCCCAGCCTCCTCCAGGGCTCCAGCACTTACCCAGGGATATAGTGAGGTTCTGGCGTGAAGAGGTTGTGTTTCTGAGTAGCTGTCATCTGGCCTCACCAGCACCTTTGGTGGCCCCAGCCCCTTCCAGCGTCTGCCTCCCTCCCCTCAGAGGAGTCCCAGTTGCCTGGAAACCATTGTGAAGGGGCCTGCCATTGTTGGGCCCTACCTGGCCCAGGACCCCTCCTTAACCCTGTGAGTGCTCCCATGTTACAGGTGGAACTCCTAGGCCCAGACAGGCAACGGGCTAGGAGTGTCAGCCTGGGGGCTTCAGAGCTCCGAGAATCGGGACGGCCGCGTTGGCCCTGCCAGACTTGCTGCCCCCAGTGGCCAACTGAAAAGTAGCTTTCCCACCAAGCCCCCTCCTCAGACCAGAGGCCCCGGAAGCTTCTCGGGCATTGTGGGAGGCCTCCTCGGGGAGGTGTCTGAGCTTCAGAGCTGTTGGGACTCTGTCCTGGAGAGTCTTTCCCCTGGAACTGGGCACCATTTGCCATTTTAAATAATCCCTGATTTTTTTTTGTATAGGAATGACTTCCTAACTATAAAAGCAAAGGAAAGTATCAAAGGAAAAGATGAGTAGATTCTAGCACATGTCAGACACACACACACAAATACTAAAAGGCAGACTACAAGCTGGGGAAAAAAAAGATTGCAACAAGTGTTATGAAGAGATATACTATCAGTGTAAAAACTTCACAAAAACAAGAAAAAATAGCACTATGGCAGGAAAATGTAATGTGAACATCTCAAGAAGAGAACCCACAGTCAGGGGACACACAGACACAAGGTTGAACCTCACGGAGGTGGTTGGTGCTGGCCCAGCAAGGCCACAGGTGCGGGGTCCGGAAAGCAGTTGGGGGACACCGGACATTACCTACTTGGACGGGCCGCTTCTGCTCACAGGAACCCGTCTGAAGGAAGCAACGGGCATCCAGCTGAGGACATCTGTGGGATGTCAGCCATCATAGTAGTATTTGATACAGGGAGAAATTGGGGCTATCTCAAATGTCCAGTGACGGGGGCTTTGTTACGAAAGCTGCACCTGCAGAACACCATGCAACAAGGGAGGGGCCCAGAGCACAGGCCGAGAGCCCCTCACCCTAATGAAACACGTGTTTCCTGAAGCAGGTTTCTATCTGTCCCTCCTTCCATCCATCCGGAGTGCCTCCCCAGGCCAGGCAGGGTCAGTGCTGGATGGGAGAGGCCTGCAGAGAAAGAGACTTGGTCGGAGTGGGGTAGGCCTGGAGGATGAGCTGTTCTTGACTGGGCCCTGCTTGCATGGATTAGGTCAAGACCAGGGCTAGGGCTGGCAGGCTGGCCGGTTGCAAAGGGCACAGCAAGGGCCCTGGTGCCCAAGCGGGCTCTCCCTCATTTGGGCTCATTATTCCTTCACTCTTCAGCCCGGGCAGCCCTATTCGTCTGTGACACCTTACAGCCTCTGTGCAACTAAGCAGAAGACGGGCCCCCTGCCTGGGTCACCAGGCAGCTCCAGTCCCCAGCCTGCCTCTGTGGTCAGCATGGTCCACCCAGACCCACTTTCCATTGCTTTGCTTTTCTGAGGGCTGGGTTTCCAGCAGGAGCTCCTCCTCCAGGGAGTTTCCCTGGATCACTCCCCCCTCCCCCTTCATTCTGGATGGCCTGGTACAGCTGGGCAGCCCATAGCAGCTGCTCTTCTCATCCCTGTGCAGAGGCCCCAGTCCTCCCAGAAGCCCTGCTAAGGTGGACCCTGGCCGTCCAAGAGACCCCAGATCCTAGAAGAGGAGAGGGGTTGCGATAAGGAAGGGGAGAAGAGAGGAAAGGAGGCCAAGCCAGAAGTCGCTGGGGCAGGCTAGGGGTCCTCCTGGCCCAGGCTGACGCCAGAGTGACCCACCTGGCTGGCCAGGGGAGGGGTCTCTCTGAGGGCCCCACTGTAGCAGCCCCTCCAGGGCTGGACAATGCTCCTTCCCCAGGGAGTCCCTGGCAACTGAGGTAGGGGGTGTCCATGGCTGGCTAATGAGGTCACAGAGCCCCAAGGTGTCCCTGGGGAAGGGAGCCAGATACTTTGACAATGAATTTTGACCAGAAAACTGTGAAATTCCTGGCGAATTTTTACATCAGTGGAGGCCAACACTGGACCCATGGCTCCCCGAGGCAGAGGCCACTTGAGCCAGCCCAGTAACTTCTCAGGGAGCTGGGTGCGCTGGGGGAACAGTCCAGGTGGGGTGGCCATTGGGCTGGGTGGACAGCACTCCCCCCTCTCCCTTGTAGGCCCAAGGGTAGTGTGTTCTTGTGGGGCCCCCAGCCAGAGACCGACTGGAAGGAGACGCGGCCCCCAGGAGTGCAGGAGTTCCAAGCTGGCCTCAGGATGCAAACGGGCTCCCTCCAGGAGCGCCCCCCTATCTGCACCCAGAACCTGAGGGAGCTGTGTGAGTAAGGGTCCTGGCTGCCCCCCACCTCGGTCTGGTTTGGGGAGGCAGGCAGGGGTGGGAGGCGTCTGCTGAGTCCCCAAACCAGAGCTTGCTTCCTGCCAGGGCTGGAACGACGCCCACCCATCGTGATCGACCTGCAGATCCCCGGCCCCGCCAAGTACCCGGTGCCGGATGCTTCAGTGCGCGAGTCCTCCCCACATCCCCACTTCAGCATCGGCCGCAGGTTCCCCACCCGCGGTGCGTGCCCCCTCCCTGCGCCCCGCCCCCTGCCCTGGGAGTGGGGCTCCGGCCCCTAGCCTTCCTTCCCTCCCCAACCACGTTGCTGCTACTGCAGACGGCGGTGGCCGCAGGGCGTGGCAGGCCTTGTGGTTCCAAAGCGAAAGCCCCTTCACGCAGAAGGCCGACTTTAACCAAGAGCAAAAGGTGGAGGGCCCGCCTAGCTAGTCCTGAGGAGGCGGGCTGGAGGAGGGGGCCAGGGAGGGGCGGGGCCCGTGGGGGGCGGGCTGGAGGAGGGGGACCAGGGAGGGGCGGGGCCCGTGGGGGGCGGGCTGGAGGAGGGGTCAGGGGGAGGCGGGGCCCGTGGAGGGGGCGGGCTGGAGGAGGGGGCGAGGGAGGGCGGGCTGGAGGGGGGGGCCCGATGGGGGCGGGGCCTGTCGGGGCCGGGCTGGAGGTGGGGGTCGGGGGGCGGGGCCTGCAGCAGCGTCTTTCCCTGTAGTGGCCATCGCCCGCGGACTATCAGCCACTCAGCCGGCCTGCCTTCCGGGCCTTCAGCTTTGGGGGCCGCCGCCCCGCCTCCAAGACACTCGAGGCCCCCGCCCGCCCGGGGCTGCCGCGGGCCGGGGGTGCGCGTTACCGTACCCAGCCCCAGCTTCAGGCCCCTCCGCAGGCCCCGGGGGGCGAGAAACTCCCCGGCCCCAACACCTACAACATCTTGCCTGGGTGCCGCCTGCAGAGCCCCCGTCCGCCCGCCTTCTCCATGAGCCGCTCCCCTGCGTTCGCCTCCTGGGTCAGCTCCTGTAAGGAGAGCTCTGAGAGAGGAGGCCAGGCCGCGCGCAGGGGTGGGGACTCAGCCTGTGGGGAGCTGGGCGCTGTGCGGCAGCTGGCGCTGTAGCCTAGGTGGGGCTCCCACCTTCTCCCTGCAGCCCGCAGTCCCGGCCCAGCCGCCTACTACGTGGAGGATTGCTATAACTCGCGCTTCCCCTCGGCGCCTGGAGTGGTGATCCAGGGTGTCCGAAGACCCAAGCGCCATGACACGGGGCCCTTCTGCGCCCTGTAGTGTCTTCTCCGCACAGCCGGCCAGCCGGTTATCCATGGAACCCTGGTCTCCCTGGGGGCCTTCCCAGGCCTCCCTGGGGAACTAAGGGCCTCCAACTCGGCCTTTTGACTCTCTGGGTGCCTCTGATCCACGTTCTTGGCCGGCCAACCCCTCTGTGAGCCGTGGACATCAAGGAGGGCCCAGCCTGAAGCCCACCTGCCCCCCACCCTTGCCATACAGAGATGCTGTGGGTTCTTCCCAACTCTGTTGTGTGCCTGACTGGTGAGCTGTCCCTCAGATGTGGCCTGCGGCCCACCTGTCATGTTTGGCTTTCCTTGGCCAGGGGTCTCCCTCTGCTTCTCCTTTGGTGCCCTCTTCTCTAGGGTGGGTGGGGTAGCAGCCTGGGACCTCCTGGCTGGGGACACGATGGGAGGGGGCCCTGTGGGCAATACAGGACACCCCCACCTAGTTGTGCTACCCAGAGGAGTGGTCAAGCTGCCAGCCTACCCAAGGGTCAGCTGCCCTCTTGAGGTGAGGTCAGCCTGCCCAGCCACCAGGGAGGGCCCGGAGGACCAGCTGGTCAGGGCCTGGCCCCATTTCTTTGGCTCCTGCCCACAGACCCTGTGAACCTGCCCAGCGCCGTGCAGGCCATGCCACAGCCAAAGACTTCCTGGGCCTTCACTTGTTAGGGTGCCCACAGCAGCAGCCTGCCTTTCTACCCAGGGTTTGTCCCCAGGACTGCCTCCCCCCCAAGGGCCTCACCTGCAGCTGCTGGAGGCTCCTGTCACCGTGCCAGTTCTTGCAGAGGCCCTTCTTGTGCCACCCGTGTCCTGAGCCAGAGCTTGACCCCTCCAAAAAGGCACTGCAACAGCTGCTGTGGTGTGGACAGCAGTCCATTCTGCAGGGAGGCCAAAGCCCAGGGAGTCTGAGTGCAGTGCACCTGTGACCTCCTCTAGGGCTCAACCACTGGGGGTTGAGCCCCAACACCCCTGAGAATCAGAGCAGTGGCATGGCAGACGGCTGTCCTCAGGCCCTGGGCTGACCAGCTCAGCCAGCAGGCAACAGAGACACAGCTGTGAAGGTCTGGCCTCAGGAGCTTGGCTCGGGGGGAAGGGGGTGGAAAGCAACCCCTAGGGCTCAAAGTCAGGAGTGGGACCAGCAGGAAGGGTGGAGCAATGCCCTCCAGCTGGGCCGAAGAGGGAGGGCTTTCTGGAGGAGTCAGTGGCGGAAGTGACTTTTAAAGATGATCAAGAGTTTGCTGGGCAGTAGGAAGGGAATTTCTAGCAGGATAAACCTCAGAAACCATGGCACACAAAAAGGGAGAGGGTGTGATGTTTGGTGTGTCCAAACTTGGGAGGATACAGGGCTGTTTGGATGGAAGGAGGTG